TGAGAGCATCAGCTCTTGAATCTGAAAATACTAGTTAATTCTAATGAAACAACTTATAACACTATACATATTTCTCTGATTAGAACTGTTATAGATATTCTGACTTCTTTCAAATCTACACTAAATAAATTATAATATATAATAGCTCAGATTAATAAACTTCTTTAAACACTCACTGAAGTAGTATATCAAGAAGTATTCTGATTCTTCTCAGAACTATATATAAGAATAAATATCTTAAAATACTCAATTAATAATAATAACACTCTGTGATTTTATAAATAATGCTGAGTCTCTTAATCTGAACTTCTATGCATCAGAATAATATAAGAGATATATAATTCATATATAATCAGTTATTTAAAATGTGAGTAACTATATTAAATAATGTCTTAAGAGTACTACTGCTCTAAGATATTAAACAGTATCAGACACTTTGTCTCAAACTGTAACTATTATTTCTCTATCATCTTATAAAAAGATTATAGAAAAGATTTACTGAAACTGCTTAATATTACTAATAGAATCTGCTGAGATGTAGTAATTAATTTTACTATTAATGTCTCTGAGAGTAAGAGTTATAAAAATATTCTGATCATTATTAACTGATTTAGTAAAGATATAATATTGAAATCTTGTAATAAAATAAATACTAAAGAGATTACTGAAGCTTTTTTATAAAGCACATTTTTATCAGATATATAACTTACTGAGATCTATAGTATTTAATTAAGACTGTCAATTTATAAGCACTCTCTGAATAAGAATCTGTTAAGTTCTCAAGATTATATATTATTTATTAACTACTTATCACTCTGAGACTAATAATATATCAGAATAAATAATTCAGACTGTAAAGAATTATCTTTATAAGTTCTATAATTATTTATAAGATAATTGACATAATCTTCTTCTATACACAGAGATTGTTATTAATAACTGAGATATTATTTTAATAGATATAAGTCTGTTCTTTCTTATACACAGTTATTATATAAAGATGTTAAATCTTCTAGAGATTATATAGTTCATACTGAATCTCTGCAGTTTAATTCAGATTGCTGATAATATAGTAACAAAGCTCTGAGACACTTATAACTGAGCAGAGATCTTCATAATAAGTACTAAACAAGATTAAAAGAATTAAATTAATATTCACTAAGATCTCACTGAGTAATATAAGATAGAAGAGTATTATTATTATTATTCTTCAATTATAGATGTATACAGTCAGAGACTATAATATCTATCTGAGAACTTTTAATTCTCAGAGTTTTTCCTATATCTATAAAGTCAACTATTATACATTTACTAATTTCAGATATGCAAAATCAGAAAATTCCAGCTCAGAATATAAAAACTGTTTACAAATTACAGTATTTTAACACCTTCTGATACTTTGAAACCATTTGACAATATCATGACAAAAGAAAAGAGAACATAGTCTTAAAGATAGACACATTAAATAGATAAATAGAAAAGAACAGAAAAGAAAAAGTAAAGTAAAGAGAGACTATAACAAAATAAAATTATTAAAAGATAGTATATAGCTGTTTTAACAGACTATATCTAATCAATTTCCACCTCTTCATATTCAGATATTTCTGAATTCAGTCATTTTCTTGTAGCTGCTTGAGCTTCTGATAAAAAGTCTATTAAGTATTTAATTCCTGTCTCAGTTGAGAATAAGAATTATATATTAAATTAATTTAAATCATACTTCTTCTTCAATCTGACTTCAAGACTATTGTATAATTAGACTGGCCGGCGGGACCATGAATTTCACATTTGATCTCATTTGATCTGGTCTTATACATTTCTTGACGTGAGTCCCACCAGAACTAACCCTCAAAAAAATCTGAAAATGGACCATTTCTGAGAGAAATGGCATGAAAAATGACCAGATTTAATTCAAGAACAGTGAAATAAGAGTAATTTCTCAGAATAAGCTGTGAAAGATGATCATTCTTTCAAAATCAGAATGAAACTGAGACTGAAGATCAAAATCAGTCTCATTCAGTTCATTCAGTGATTGCTTATATAATCAGAATTTGATAATGATTATTGATAATACTCATGAAACAACTAAATACATTCTTGTACAAGTTTATTCTTCACTTTCTCATGAAAACTACACTTCTCTGATATACTGTGATCAGAGATATTAAACTGTCTGATAATTTCATGTTTTACAATTATGAGTTTCTTGATTGTTTCTCCTTGTAATTGTTCTCAGTGATAGTGATAAATATCTCAACTTGAGTTGAACTTTTACTTCATTCTCATCTCTGTCAATGAAATTATCAGAATATCACATGTCATCAGTGCAATAGTTGAATATATACTCTTAACAATTTTTCATAACTCTAGAATTGATTTGGTGTGTAAATTCATCAGATTATCTTGAAGATAGCAGTTAAATTCAGTTTTATAAGTATGTAGTTTTGCCTGATTTTCAGTTGTAATCAATGTATACAAGTCCTGTTTCAAAGTTAGTATTATAGTTCTATGAAATATGAAGTATTATCAAAGATCATTACTTACTAGGAAATTGTATTTCACTGTCTTTACATCTTAAATATCTGCTCATTCAAATCTCTGATAGTTGACATTGTAGTAGTCTCAGACTAATTTAACATATGAGTCTCATTTCTCCTCTGTTCAATCTTGAGAAGTGTAGATATTAACTCAATAGAAGAGATCTAGTAGAGCTACTACAGCATAGTACTCTGCAAAAGATTGTTCAGTTTTACTGTAGTAATATATCAGTTTATTCCTTACAGTAATAATAGCCTGCACTATAGTATTATCTCAGACTGAATTTCTTTTTGAGTGATTCAACTGCTTCTCAAGATGAGTAAATAAACTGTTATACACTCATCAGGCTGACTGCAGCATTGATGTATGAGTGATTGAGACTGTCTTTATTATCTTATAAAACTGAAACAGTAAATCAATCACATATTTCAACTGAGTTCACTTCATATCAGAAAGTTTCAATATCTGAATCTTTTCTCAATCAGAGTGTTGCACTCAATGATCAATTATCTGATGCAATCAAAGAGCTCAAATAGTTATCTTATATGTTGAACTTCATTATGTTCTAACATTCTGTATCATATTCAGTGATATGACTGATTTATTTATTTATTGAATATTATGAAATTGTTGTTATTGTTTAGAGAAGATATAAATTGCATTAGCAATGTTTCAAATCTGTGATATTTAAATTATTAGTCAATCTATTCAAAATTAACAGTAGTGTTATCAAAAAGTGTTATCAAAAAGCAATATCAAAAAGTGTTGTCAAAAAACATTATCTTTTGTAAAGTGAATGCAAAAGTTACTTAAGTAATCACTTTCATCTCATTCTCATCTCAAGAATCAGTCATCTCATTATTCTTCATCTTAATATTAAGATTCTTTATCAGTGTTTGTATCACAAGTTGAATCACATGAGTAATACAGAAAATATGACCTTGTTTATTATTTCAGAAATGCAAAGTCAATTTTTGCTTCAAGCTCTTCATCATAGTATAGTTATTCACAGTTTTATCAGTTGTAATTATAAGAAGACTGAGACTAATATCTCAATAATCATTTTTAATCACAGTCATTAATATCTCTATTATATAATTCTCAGTATGACTACTGATCAATGATTCAAATTCAATTAATGTCTCTTAATAAGTTCAGTTCTCATCAATATAATAATATGTAACTCTCATAAATATAAGATTATTTATACTAGTTCATGCATTCACTGTGAGAGACACTCTTCAATAATTCTTCAACTCTGATTCTAGATGTTGTATATTAACTTTGTAGTGTATCTCAAGGTTGAATCAAAGACAGAATCAATGTGAAATATGAAGATTTGAATTAAGTATTTAAAGAAGTGTTCAGAATTCGGGGTTTTCAATTAATCAAAGAGAAAGATTCAGAGATATACACATGTGAAGTAATTATTCACAGAAGTTATCAGATAAGAGTTGTGAAATCAGAGTACTGATATGTGATCATTTTCACATGATTTTCTTCAAATTAGAAAGTTAGTGTTATTAAAAATCATTATCTGATAGAGCAACTTACCAGCTCAGTAGTAATTTTCTGATTATTTTTCTTTTATTGTCTGCATTCTGATGACTTCAGATGTCAGAAAATTCCTTCAGAGTCATGATTAGTTCATGATGAATATTTCTGAATGAAGTTGTAGTGATTGTAGCAGAGAGATGACTCTTCAGTAATCTATAATACAATCTGTTGATAATTATTTCATAGTTCATCTCAATATTTGTGTTGAGTTTTTCATAAATTTTATGACCTGAAATCAGATATGAAGAAAGAAGTAGTCATTTATCATGATTAAAAGAGAGTATTCTGTGTTAAATTGTAAACAATGTAGACTTTGTAATTCACAGTAATTTCTTGAAGAGTTTATGAATCTTTAATAGAAGTAAAAGAAGTAAAAGAAGTGAATTCAGAAGATATAATAATAATTTGAGAAAGATAATAATTTATTTTCAATAACTGATCACTGATGTGTGTAAGAAGAATTAATATAAGAGAAAATAATCTTATTTCTTAGCTTAGTTATAATTTTAGTACTAACTCAGATTGAATATCATTGATATATAAAAGTAAATAAACAATCTTGATTAATCTCTGTCATATTTCTTGAAATATATTAATATTGTGAAAGAGAGTGTTACTAAATTACATTATCAGATAATATTATTAAAAATATATTAATATTGTGAATATCAATGTTGAAAAAATGTTGATACTTATACATTATAGTGATTTGTGAATCATGATAGTTATATATATATATATATATATATCATTTCTGACTTGATTACAACTTGTACAATAATTTTTGAAAACTCAAAATCAATTTTAATTATTAATAATTAAAAACTTAAACTTATAACTAACTAATATAAAAAGAAAAAAATTTACTTCTTCTCTTTCTCATTCTTCTTATCATTCTTCACAATTCACTTCTTATTCTTCTTCTTCTTCTTCTTCTTCTCATCTGAGATGATAATCATCTTAAAATCTTTCTTCACTGTCTTCTCAGAGAAGGGTTTCTGCTGCTTTTCCTTAGCCAGATTAATCTGCATCTTAAAATCCCGTATTTCCTGATCTGCTGCCTCAGGTTCCACTTCAGTGATAAGTAGATTGACATGTTTAGAGAGCAGAGCTGTCTTCTCAATATTCTGAATCATGAAGTGTATTCAAGACCTGAATAAGGTCTCAATTCTCTTCTTCTCTGCCAGCTTCTACTAATCAATTAGAGAATAGAAGCATTATCAAAAATCATTATCTCTCAATAAATAAAAAACTTATCAGTTTTAACTTCTTTATCTCTTACTTCAACACTCTCTTAATCTTCTTCTGCTATTACTTATTTATAGTAACACTCTTCTTCTCTCTCTCTCTCTTTATCTTGAACTCAAATCATTCTCAGAACTTCTTCTGATCTCATCACTGCTGTATAAGACTCTTTACTATCTTCTTCTTCAATCTCTCACAGACAGTGCTATCTGTATTATTTCTATACTTAGTTCAGTCTAAATCTATCAGAAGTATTACTTAAAATTGTTATTATTCTACTCTCTTACAGAGCCTCTTCAAGGTATTATAACATGTTTTACAATCTGTCTTCTCTCACTTGAATATCTTCTTCTTCTCTCTCTTCAATCTGTGACAGCACTCATGCGCCTTGATGATCCGCAGAACCGCAGAATAATTGAAGAGAAATGATATAATTGATTTTAGTGAGTATTGAAGAGAAGTGAAGGCAGAAGAGATGATCAGAAATGATATGATAATGATGATAATAATGATGATGATGATAATAATAATGATAATGATAGTGATGATATTGATAATAATAATGATAATGATGATAATAATAATGATGATGATGATGATGATAATGATGATAATGAAAGAGAGAGTGCATTGAAATATATTACTAACTTATTAAATATAAAGGGACAAAGAAAATATTAACAGCTTTCAGAGATATATGAAAACAGCTACAGTATTATATAGCAACATCATCTTTATTCAATGCATGCAGTATTGATATTCTTTGTATACAGTTATTATATAATCTATATCAGAGATACATGCAGAAAACAGATCTTTGTTACTAGAAAGAATGATTGCAGTGATTCTCTATTTTCATATTATAAAGATAAGTTATTCTCATTTCTTTCTTCTCTCTTTTCTCTTCTTCTTCAACTCATCACTAAGTTCAAGCTGATATGAAAACTATTAAAACACTCTTAGAAACTCTCAAATTGAAGAGTATAGACTAATCAAATTTTAAATACAGAAGAATTAAATTATATTCAATATTACTAATTATTTATTCTCTCTCAATAAAATCACAGTCACATCTTTCTCTTCCCTTCTCTCAAATGAAATATGGCCTGTGAAAAGTGAGTATCATATCAGGTCATAATGATCAACACAGTCTCAGCACACAGAGCTGTATACACACAGTGCATGCTGAACTGAGAGACTGTGTGAGTTGCAAATCAGTACCAGCATCTCAGAGAGAGCTGTGCAGTGTGAGAAAGTCACAACTCTCAGTTACATATGCAGAGAATGAATCATCACAGTAAGTACATATGCATTGTATGAAAGTAACACTTTTTAATAACACTCAGTCTCTGATATCATGAAAATAGAGTCTCTTCATGAGATCTGTTTTTATCAGAAGTCAGAGAATCTTATATTTCTCAAGATTATCTTTATCTATCTTGTCTGTAAAATCAATGAGAAAAATCATCAATTTCAGTGTTCTGCTCTTAATGTTATTCAAGTGATGACAGAGTTCACCCTGGCCACACTTTTTAAGTGTATATTTTCTAAATATTCATATTTATACAGATATATACTGATTATTTATTAGATAATGTTAAGATAATAACTCATCACAGCTGTGTTACTCTCACTATGAGAGATACATAGTTGATAATGAATATTACAAAGACTCTGAGAAGTGAGTATTTTGAGAATACTATAACTCTGCAACCTTGATTTTTTTTATTTTTATTTTTTATTTTTTTCTTTTTCTTTTATTTTTTTTTTTTATTCATTCTGATTTTTTCTTGTTTTTGTTTTATTTTTTGTTTTTTGTTTTTTTTTTGTATTTTATATTTTTTTCATAATTAAAATTATATGAATTATAATCTGTATTTAGAAAAGTAATAATATTTGATAACACTCTCTATTGAATTTTCAACAAATGAGTACTATGTTATGATATTATGTAAGTGAGAAGTGATTTTATAATCTCATTTAATGCCATTCTCAATAATGAGATCAGAATGAAAATGTGACTAAGAATTTAAACATATTCTTTATCTGAGACTAGATTTTTATTTGAAAAGTGAATCTGAGATCTTTAATATTTGAAATAACATGATTTGAGATCAATGTGATGAACACAAATCATGATCAGAAGTAATGCTTTTAGGTAACATGATAACTGTAAAGTTTGATTCTGGTTCCAGACACGGTCACACGGTCAGTCTATGTATAATACACAATGCATTACAATATGCTCAGAATTTTCATTTGCATTGTAGAATAAGCATTCTGTTGAATCAAATCTATCATCAAATCTTTGTATATAGAATTTGAAATAACCATGTTCTAGTTTCAGCTGAATTATAGAGGAGAATATTTTCCTTTTATATTTAATTGAACAAGATTTTCACTTAGGTTTTATCTCAAATCTTGAATAATGTATGCTCTTCTTTTGTTTCTGTCAGCTTTCATTTCACTTATTTAAACAAGATTCTTTTATCTTTCTCTTTATAAAAGATCAGGACACAGTTTTTTGAATAGATCTACTTAATTCTGAACTCTTTTTTACTGCTGAATCAGTCAATTCATTGCCATGAATATTCATATGAGTACAAACTCAGTGCAGATGAATTATCAGTTTTGATATTCTTCTCTTTTGAATTTTTATAACAGAATTTAAAATCAGTTCAAGATTCATTTGATCATTATGAATCTGACTATTTTTAAGTCTTTTCAAAGCAGCTTGACTATCAGAGAATATTCATGTTTCTTTCAAGCTATTTTCTCTTTTATAAGATTTTATCTCAATAAGTTTGATATTCTTTCTAGTTTATCAACAGAGTCATTTCTCAATTCTCTAATCTTAACAGGTGTTTAAGGATTCAAATTCTGTTTGTATTTAGCTGAAGAATTTGAGTTTGAGAATTTAAACAATTGAGAGTTTCTTCTTTTTGAGCTTGCAGTTATAGATTTATTAACTTGACTGTTATCTTCAGTGTCTCAGTGGCCGAATGGTTAATGCGGCCACCCGGTAGCACCTTGATGTGGGAAATCAAGGCGTGTGAGTTCGAAACCCGCAGAGAATACATTAAATCTGGAACTCAAGCATCTCAGGTTTCTAATAAATACAGAGGTGTACAAATCGCTTTAATGAATTGCTCTATGTTTCTGAGCTGGGAAGTTATTATTACATGTATCTAATTGTCACTTCTTTGTATTTTCCTATGTTCTTGTTATCTTGACATGATCTCAACACCTGTATTTTCTCCTGTATAATCAACACTTGACCTGTATTTAACATCATGCAAGGACTCATCATAAGCTCCGCTTGCATATGAGTATAATGAAAGAATAATAATAATAATAATAATAATAAAGTTATCTTCAGTTTTAGATTAACCTTGAGCTTCTTCTTTTCTTCAGTTCTTTGAAATTCTTAGAGCAAATGTGCATTCTTTTGAACTAGATACATGCTTTTCTTTGCAGTTAGAGTATTTAAACAGAGTATGTTGACAGATTTCATCTCTTTTTGAGCATATTTTTTATTTATACTCACTAGTTTTGTGATCTTTGACACAGAATTCACATTTTAAGTCTCTGAAATAAGAGATTGCAAAGTGTTCATATCTTTGACAGTTTGAACACTGTGTTTGTGCTTTGAGATTCATTCTGAAGTCTTTGTATTCATGAACTCTCATTTTCAAATCTGTTACTCTCACTTCAGAGATTTTTGATTATTCAAGTGTTTTTGTATAAACTAGAACAGAGATATTTCTTCTGATTTATCTGAATTCAATTGAATTCAGTTATACAGGCTTCTTTCTCAGTTGAATAGAATTGTATTCTTCTAACTCATTTTTGAGAAGTAGTATTTCTTTCTCACAGTCAAAAATTTCAACTGAAATATTATAAAGAATGAATTTATCTCACTTTTCATCTCTTTCAGATAAAATTGTTGTATTTAACAGAGATTCTATTGCTGATTTTCAGATATTCTCATTCTCAATAAGAAATTTCATGCTGAATTCAGACATTGTAGTTAGAATGATAGAATTTTCAAAGAAAGATGACTCAATTGAAGCTACAACTGATTTTTGAACTTTAATATCATACATTAACTGAGAATAGAACTGCTGATTAATTTCATTTCTAATTTTGAAAATGAGATTTAAGTTCAGCTTGTTCTTCTACAGAATATCTCTATTTGAGACTTTGAGAATAAGTCTTCTATTTTTAAAGATTTGAACATTTTTCTCTTTTTACATTTTCTTCTCTTCTTTCTTATGAAGAGAAGTATGAGCATTTTTTCTCTGAGTACTTTCAGAGTTTTGAGCAGGTTTTGAGATAGTAGATTTAAAAACAGCAGATTCTGCTGCTTGAGCATATGTTTTTTTCTGATTTGAGAAACAAAAAGATGAAGAAGAGTCAGTGATTGTACTAGAAATTTTCAATGTTTTTTAAACTGTGTTTGAAATTTCAAGCTTGAACTTAATCACTTTCTGTAGTTATCTAGTCTGAGTATGAAGAATTAACAGAACTTCTTCATTCATCTCAATCAGATACTGTTTTTCAAGAATTTTACTGGCTTTTTCAAGCTCTTGTATTTTAAGAACTTATTGTTTCTGTATTTCTTCTTTCTTTCTTCTCTTCAGAATTTCAATCTCAGAAATAGCATCTGAGAAAGCATTATTTTTCACATCAACTGAGTATATTTTTGAACTCATTTTTCTCACTTAATGAAAAGCTGGTCAGACTGTTTCAATTGACAAATATATCAGTCTATTTTCAATTGAAAAGTTGATCAGACTATTTTAAAAGAAGTATGAAAGACTTTTATGTATAAACTATCTGATTTTTTTTCACACTAGTTTAGTAACTAGATTAGATTTTTGAAGAGAAT